GGAGCCCCGCTCCCGCCCAGGCCGCTGCGGCCCAGCCCGCCCCGCCGCCAGGGGTCAGAGATCCCCCAGCGCGGGGTGCCCGGCAGCGTGTTTGCGGAGGTCTGGGCATTTTGTCTCCGAGACAGGTACTTACAAAAGGCAGGGTCTATTAGCAGGAGGTCAGGGGCACAGCAGGAAGGAGATGTTTGTTCAGAGGATGGCTTCCAGGACTGTCATTTTGGGGGTCACGAAGCACACTGAATTGTTTAATATCCCTAAATATCACTTAGGCTACTAGGACTCTTCTGACCAGAGACTTGCAAACTGGTGTTTCCCACTGGGTAAAGCCAACAGTTTGTGTGGCATGCACTATGTTTTCTTTTCTTTTTTTTTTTTTCCTTTAAATAATCGCCCACATTTGAAACCAGGAGATTAAACATAAAGATGCATGGATTATGTTTTTTCTTGAAAAGTTGAAAGGCCTGGCAACAGAGGATTTTATTCTTCCTGGCAACTATGAATGCGTCGGAACTGAGCACTGGCTACTGAAGATGAGAGTTCTCTTTGGTGATTTCACTCATTACAGGTTCTTGCCTGGCCCCCAAAGGCATTTATTGTACTTCCTTTGCCTTAGATCTCGGGCTTTGAATTCACTTAGAGATTCTCTTGTTTTACTAAATATTTCAATAACCAATAACAAAGCCATAACCTATAACTGGGAGAAAAATGGGGACTTTTACGGCAATTAGGTTTCTGTTCTTTGGGTTAATTTTACTGTCTATACTGTTGACAATAATTACTTTTAGTATTTGGAATTCTGTGTGGGGAGAGATCAGGAAGAGCCAAGTGAAAAGAAGTCCCGACCTTTCTCTCCTTTATGCTGTTGCTATTGAAAGATGATTTTGACTTAGCCCTAAAGCTAAGCCCTCCTCGACCCCATTCATTCATACAGTATATGTGAGCCCTGCAGCTTCTGTCTTGCAAATTTTCTACAGCCTATTCCTTACTTTTTCAAAGCCTTATTTTACTTCTCATCTCTAAATCTGACCACCTATTTTGAACTCAGTGTGAGAGGTTATATAGATTTGAAGTCCAAAGCTACATTGGGAAACAAAATCCTCTTTTAGCTGCCTCATGAAGGGCTTACCTCACGGCCCTCAAGCAAAACACTTAGCTCTTCCATGATTCTGTTACTCCATGAGGATTTGGGTCATGATACAAATCACTACTAGAAATGATTTTTACAGAGAAAGGTCTTTTTCAAGTGGGTAGTACTTTGCACTTTTCTCCATTGCTATGAGAAGTTGCCTTGTGAACACTGTAGGCATCAACAGCAAAACTACAGAAGAACATAAATGAGAAGGAGGTAAGGAACTTGATGGGCGAGAAGGGTGGTATAACACTGAAAGTCATTCTGGCCACTGCTGGAAATGTAGAGTTCTCATGCTGTTGATTTTTAGAAAAAAGTTTTGGGAGCAGGAAGAAATAAGTTCAATCCAACTAACAGCTACATGTTGGAGATGCAGAGATGGATACAGGAGATTCAGTGAGATAATTTGTGTAAAGCATTTAGCACCATGCCTGGCACATAGTAAACAGTCAGTAATTTGTGGTAGCTATTATAATACTATTTATTTAGGATACCATAATGGTTAAAAGCTAGGGCTCTAGGTTGAACACTGACTTTGCAGCCTGTGATATGGCAAGTGACATGACTACTCTGGGCCTCTGTTTCTGCAACTGTGAAATGAGGATGATAAGATTCTAGATAAGATTAAACAAGGTATTGTATGTGAAGCACCTTTTAACATACAGCCTGGCACATAGTAAGCACAGTAACTGGTATATACATATATAGGATGTGTTCATTGATCTTAAGGAATTTCATAGGCCAGTAAAGGAGAATGTCAATAATCTTATTTGTGCAAAATAGAGATGAGTATAAGAGACAACGGGAACAGGAAGGGAAGGTTAGTGTGTGTGTGTGTGTGGGGGGGGGGGTTTCCTGAGCAGGGTTTAGGAAGAAGAATAGGAGCTTCAAGGGAACACAAAAGAAAACAGGCAACTGCAGTGAAAGAGTAAGGAGCAGCATCATAGGGAAATAGAAGTAGTTCTCTACAATTGGCAAATGCAGTTGATCTTCATTATTTGTAGATTTTATATTTGCAAATTTGTCTACTTGCTAAAATTTATTTGTAACCCTAAATCAATACTCATGGTGCTTTCATGATCATTGATGAACATGTGCAGATAGGCAAACATTTTGAGTCACTGTCCACACACATTCCCGTTTGACGTCAGACAAAGTGACATTCTGCCTTCTTGTTTCAGCCCTGGTACTGTGAACAATTCTTTTCACAGTCTATATAGTGCTACCTTTTTTTTTTTTTTTTTTTTTTTTGCATTTTTGTGCTTTTTGAAGGTGATTTCATTGTTAAAATGATCCTGAAGCATAGCGCCGAAGTTCTGTCTAGTGTTCCTAAGTGCAAGAAGTGTGTGATGTGGAGAAAAACTCATGTGTTACATAAGTTTCATTCAGGCATGAGTTATAGTGCTGTTGGCTGTGAGTTCAATGTTCATGAGTCAACAATATATACTGAATAAGGTGTCTTTAAGTGGAAACACCCCTAAAACCAGGTTATAGTTTGATTGGCTGATGAAAACGGCTCACAAGTCCTATCTTCCTGAGCTGGCTGTACTGCTGGTTCTTTTTTCCTTCCACAGCCAACCAGGCACCAAGATCTATCCTAAAAAACCCCCACAAAACTGCATAAAGTGCAAATTGTATAAACTTCCAAATGAATAATGTCATTGACCATTTTGTTTTTATGCGTTCTGGTCATAATTGTTTGCTTTCTATTGACTTATTTTATTACATATTAAAACTTTTATTGAATTTTAATCTTTTATTAAAGATCAGTTCCTACTATATATAAGACACCATTTTGGTGGCCTTTCAACTGAGTAGTTGATCAATTAAGTGACTGTACCTGTGGGTTTGCAAAATAGAATTGGTGACTAGGAGAAATTCTAACTTAGCAGTTTAAACCTTTGGATGATTCCCATTTTCTGTTCATGTGGCATGTAACACAAGTCTGTTTGACTTCTCTGCACATATTTAAAAACGGTGTGTATAATAGACATGATAGAGTGATATACCCAGAATGGTTGTTAGAGGTATCTCTGGCCCATTACTGGGATGAGACGTTGCCTAGGAGCCATCTCTTCCTTACAGCTGGAGTGGTGGATAGAGAGCCATGTCACCCGCATTGCACCTTGATGCTTCTGAGTGAGAGAAGCCTTTTCTAGAGGTCACCTTTCTCTAGTCATTTCTGTAGCACTTATGGAGCTATATCATCAGGTGATTCCATCAGAAATTCTGAATTGAGGGAAAATTTTCTCTTGGGATATCTTCTCACTCACTGGAAGAATATACTACTAAGAACCAGAACAGCTATATTTGTCTTTAATAAATTCTCTGGTGTGAGGCTAGTTCTTATTATTTAATTAATTAATTAATTANGGTGTGAGGCTAGTTCTTATTATTTATTTTATTTTATTTATTTATTTATTTATTTATTTATTTATTTATTTATTTATTTATTTATT